AGAGAATTTTTTTAGTTCTTGGCAGACACAACATCTTTGTTTGTATGTGGTGCTGAGGATCGAACCCGGGCCGCATGCATGCCAGGCGAGCGCGCTACTGCTTGAGCCACATCCCCAGCCCGAGCCCCATTTTCTTAATGGCTTAAACATTTATTGAATGGGTTGGTGCTATTATTTATTTTTTTAAAGAAGTGGAGCAGAAAATATCCAAGTGCTATGAATGAAGTAAGGGTAAATATTACACAGGAAAAAAGTCTTATTTCTGTAAGCACTTAGAAATTGGTAGCTCTCATTATATCATGTAAACTTCTTTTACCCCCAGAATGTATGTACTAGCTAATTGTTTTGGGGTTTTGTTGTTGTTGTTGTTGTTGTTTTTAAGTTATATATGACAGCAGAATCCAGCTTGATATAATTATCCACCCATGGAATATCTTTCTCTAGTTAGGATTCCATTCTTACGGATGTTCTTGATGGTGGGATTCACTGTGTTGTTTTCATATGGGTACAGGGAAAATGATGTTGGATCCATTCCATTGTCTTTCCTTTGTTGTTTTTAATTTTTTATTATCCTTCTCCATTATGGAAACTGTTCTCTGTTGATACATTTAGAGCTGCCTCATCATTTTTTTTTAAAACATTGAGTTCTTTTGGGAGACTCTGTTTTTTGTTGTTTTTTTTTAATAACTTTATTTATTTATTTATATGTGGTGCTGAGGATCGAACCCAGGGCTTTGCGCATGCGAGGCAAGCACACTACCGCTGAGCCATAACCCCAACCCCAGCCTCATCATTTTTAATGGCTGTAATAATAATATAAACAGTAACAATAGTAGTAATAACAGCTACTTATCAAGTCCTTGGAGAGTGCCCGACATGCTTAGAAATGCTTCATATAGATTCACCCACTTAACTTTTTTCCCACCCACTTATTTTTAAGGGGCGACAGATACTGGGAATTGAACTCCGGGGYACTCAACCACTGAGCCACATCCCCAGACCTATTTTGTATTTTACTTAGAGACAAGGACCCATGGAGTTGCTTAGCTCCTCCCAGTTGCTGAGGCTGGCTTTAAACTCACAATCCTCCTGCCTCAGCCTCCCAAGCTACTGGGATTACAGGTGTGCGCCACCGCACCTGGTTTACCCACTCAATTTTTGCAACAATTCTACAGGCAGATGATCTCCATTTTATTGGTGAAGAAACTGAGGCAGAGAGGTTAAGTTCCTTAGCTAGGTGCCATGTGCCAAAGCTAGGATTTGAACCCACGCATTCTGTTTGCAGAGCCTGTGTTCTTTTTTATTGTATTTTAGGTGGTGATGGGGATGGAACCCAGGGTCTCTTGCATGCTAGACAAGTGCTCTGCCACAGAACCCCAGTCCCAGCCATGACAATGTTCTGGCTTCCGTGTGGCACACAATTCTCTTGTGGGGCATTGAGCTGCGCTCCCTCTGTAGRCAGTGATAGAAGGTTTTGCAGTTTAAGCAGTGTTGTGAAGAATACCTGTGTGTKTGTGCACGTGTATGCATTTATGCAAAAAATAACATTTATACAAACAATGTTAATTACTATCATATCACCAAATACTATTACATTTAATATAAGCATATATTATTGTATTATATTATTATACATAATTTATATTTCATATTCATGAATTAATATTTAMAATTACTTTAAAAATGTTTATTACTTAATACTTATTAATGATCATTAATAACAATATTCCATTTTTAGCATTTAGGATAGGCCAGGGTCTGTTCAAAGCCATTCTGTCCCTTTGTGCCACGTGGGATTATTATGTGGAGCTGAGAAACAACTCCTGGCAATTTCACGTGGTTCAGCCTAATATACAGAATTTCATATCTTTCTCAGAAGAACCCCCAAGAGCAGGACCTTTTATTATTTGGGTGACGGTTAATAGATTTAACTTTCTAGCTGGTTCTTGTGGAAATCTGAGAAGCTGGAGTTTCAGCTATGTTGCTAGACCRTGTGGCCAGAGCATAGTAGATGCTCAGTGAGAGCTGCTGTTTTTGTACTTATTAGTATTATTATRGTTATTTTCATCCTTGATCTATTCACCTCACCCTCATCTATTTATTTATTTTTTATTTTTTGTAACTGCATCAGCCTCTCACTAATGTTCCCATTTTAATTCTTCTTTTCCCAATAATTTATTCTTTTTCTGTGTGCTAGCATTTGAATCTAGGGCCTTGCATGTCCTAGGCAAGTGCTCTACCACTTGAGCTACAGCCACAGCTCTTTTTATTTTTGTTATTAGTGTGTGTGTGTGTGTGTGTGTGTGTGTGTGTGTTGCTGGGGATTGAATCCAGGGCCTTGTGCATGCGAGCAAGCACTCTACCAACTGAGCTATATCCCCATCCTTCTTGTTATTTTTTGAAGCAGGATCTTGCTAAGTGCTAAAGCTGGCCTCAAACTTTCGATCCTCCTGCCTTAGCCTCCTGAGTTGCTGGGATCGTAGGTGTGCACCACCACACCARGCCCAATAATAATTGATTCTTCACACAACAGCCAGAGTGATCCTCATCCTTCCTGCTTTAATTCCTCTGTCCCCAAGGCCGTCAGTGGCTTCCCAGGCTTCCTCACCATGAGCTGCAAGTGCTGATATGGCGCCCGCATGTCTCAACACTCCTCCCTATTCACTGTGCTCAGCATTGATCCACCAACATTCTATACTTTTTTATGCCTGAGGGCCTTTGTACTTACTGATCCTTCCACTTGAAGCACCATCCCCCCCAGTTTTCCCTGAACAACTCATCCTTTGGGGCTGGGAGTTGGTGTTCAGAAGGCTGTACCTGGTTTTCTAATTAGAAAATGATCCTTTTTGATAGTACTCTGTTCTCTTTTCACACAGCAGTTTCTGATGATGGGTTCATTTGTAGGATGGCYCACTCAGTTCCTTATAATGGAAGCACCATGCAGACAAAACTGGGGTCTGCATTACCCAGTCCCATTTGCCAATTATCCAAGAGCTCCCAGCCAGGAAGTGCTGGGAATATGGCTGAAGGAAAGCCCAGGGACTCGGGYCTCAGTTTCCTCTCTGTGAAGTAGAGTGAACATTTCCCAACTCAGGGTTTTTTGTTTTGTTTTGTTGAGATAGGAGTCTCCCTACCTTGCTAGGGCTGGCCTTGAACTCACARRCTCATAGGATCCCTTGACCTTAGCCTCCCAAATTGCTCAGACTACAGATGTCACCACCACACCTGGCCTCACAGGGCTTTTAGGAGCTTAAGTGGGCCTGCAGAGTGCCAGGTACAGTCATCCCTTGGGACTGTAAAGGATTGTCTCCAGGACCCCCAAGGAGACCTATATCTCAGGAGACTCTAGTCCTTATATAAAATGTTAGAGTACTTGCAATTAACCTGGACACATCCTCCTGTATTCCAGAAAGCACTGGAGATAACTTATAACACTTACACATGATGGAAATGGAAATGGTTATTGTACTGCGTTGTTAAGTGAATAAGGACAAGAAACAAAGTTTGTACATGTTGAGGACAGATACAATTTTCCTTTCTTGCAAATATTTTTGGCCTGCATCATATTGAATCCAAAGATGCAGAACCCACAGATAAGGAGGGAAAGCTGTATGCTGGAGACAGATAATGAGCTGTTGATAAATGCCAGCCATTTAAAAAAAAAAAACTTAATATTGAAACAAGACAAGTGTGGAAAATCACATCAAACAAATGCACAGCTGAATTATCATATGGGAACATTCTGGTAAGTGCCACTTGTGTTACGAGATAGTACCTCCCGGCCAACTTGTAATTCTTCTTTATGAAGTCCAGAACAGGTGGAACTGTGTATCTGTGGTTTCATAAGTCAGAAGAATGGTCCCTTGACAGATGTGTCACTGGCCAGGAAGAGGGACAAGGAAGCCTTTAGAGTGATGGGCCTGTTCTGTGTCTCCATGTGGGTGGCTGGTATGCAAGTGTAAATATATGTACATTGTACCCAGCTGCACGTGTGTAAGTCTGTGCACTTCTCACCTTATTATATATATGGATATATTATTTATGCATTTATATATATATGTATGTATATACACACACACACATACACATGTATGTGGAGGTTTATTTATTTATTTATGGCTGTACTGGAAATTTATTTAAAACTGAGCTATATCCCTAGCCCTTTTTTATTTTTCATTTTTAAAGAAAATTTTTAATGTATATACTTTTTTAGTTGTAGATGGACACAAGAYCTTTATTTTTTATTTATTTATTTTTATGTGGTGCTGAGGATGGAACCCAGTTCCTCACATGTGCTAGCCAAGAACACCACCGCTGGGCCCCRGCCCCTTGTTTTTCATTTTGAGACAGAGTCTTGCAAAGGTGCCCAGGCTGGCCTGGACCTGTGATCCTCCTGCCTCGGCCTCCCTAGTTGAGGTTACAGATGTGCACCACCATGTGTAGCTCAACTTCAGAATGCTTTCATTAACCCCCAAAGAGCTGGGATATAGATAGCTCAGTTGGTAGAGTGCTTGCCTGGCATGCACCAGGCCCTGGGTTCAATCCCCAGCACTGCCAAGAAAAAAATAAAGAAACCCTGCACCCCAGAGCCACCACTCCTCAATTTGCCCATCTCTCCCAGCCCCTGGTGATCACTATTCTACTTCCTGCCTTTGTATTTATTTGCTCTATATTAATTTACTCTGGACACTTTATATAARTGGTGCCACAGACAGTGTGGGCCTTTGCAGTTGGCTGCTTTGACTCATGTTGACAGTTAGGATTTTKGATGGCAGATGTAACTCAGTAGTAAAGTGCTTGCCTGGCTTGTGCGAGCCCTTGGGTTTCATCCTCAGCACTGTGGGGGGAAAAATACGGATTTTTGCTGGATGCAGTGGCGCATGCCTGTAAATCCAGCAGRKTTAAAGGCASCCTCAGCAACAGCRAGGCACTAAGCMACTCAGTGAGACCCTGTCTCTAAATAAAATACAAARTAGGGCTGGGGATGTGGCTCAGTGGTTGAGTGCCCCTGAGTTCAATCTCCAGTGCCAAAAAAAMAAAAAAAAAAAAAAAGATTTTTGRTCTGTGCCCATTAGGTGGTAGTTTTACTTGGCAGTTCTCTAACTTTCTGCTGAGATGGAACACCTCTTCCTGAGTGCTTGGGCCTTGCATGTTTTCAGGGCTCCTTTGGTCTCCAGAGGACTGGAAGCCTGCCCCGGAGAAGAGGAGAGAGAGYGAGCCAGAGAGGATCCCCACGGCCTCTGTCCCTCCATTGTACTGGTGAGGGCCTCTCCCATTCCCCACCTACTCTCCTGCCCCACCTCCTCCCATCCTGCTGCAGACTATGGGCAGGGAGGAGCAGAGGGGCTTGGGCCTGGGAGTGTCCKGGCCTCCTCACGTGGTCCCCTCTCCCTCAGGACCCCTTGAGGCCTCKACTCTCACACCAGCAGTGGAGGCCTCTGGGAGACACCCGCTCTATCAGCTGCTAAACTGTGGCCCTGGGAACAGGTGAGACATCAGGGAGAAGGGGTGGGGAGATGGGAGGAAGAGGCCCAGGCCTGGTAACCCGCCAATCTCTGTTCCCTGGTTCCAGCTGCAGGGCCCTCCACCCAGACATCGCTCACATGGAGAAGCTTCTGCATCAGGCAATTGCAGAAAGGGAGCGGCTGATCAAGGCCAGGGTGAGACGCGCTCTCCTTTAGGAACAGGAAACCCCACTTCAAGTCCTCTTCCCTCAGACCCAGGGGTCCAGGCCCAGCCTCCTCCCTCAGACCCAGGGGTCCAGTACATTTTCCTGGTTGGCATTCTCATTGATTCTTTCATTTCAAATCTACAGGAAGGAATGAAAAAGAGCAGAGAAAGTTCCTCAGGCCCAGCTCTCCCTGCCATCATGGTCAGTCCTGCCCCTCCCTACCCTCCCTGCTCAGGTCCTCCCCCTGGCTTTGGTCCTGTCTTGCATTTCACTCTGTGTCCCCTGCAATGTGACAGAAAAAGGGCCCCTGGGCTTGATAAGGGAAGGGGAGTCAAAGGACCCCATTTCTGTTCCCAGTTCCACCATCTGTGTCAGTGGCCTGCCCATGGGTACCTTGCTCCATATCCTTATTTTAATTCTTGTTCTTGTTCTTGGATATACCTCATGAGATTATTAATCATGCTATAATACAGTCATATAAATCCATATGCATATTTCTCTAATTGTCTCAAATGTCTTGGAGGTTTATTTGAATCCAGATGCAAACCAAGCATTTGGCTAAAGTGCCTCTAACTGTTCTCCTCCTCTCTCTCTCTCTTTTTTTTTTTTAATGCCATGAAAAAAAAAATTGAGCCATTTATCCTGTGAGTTTTTTCACATTCTGAATTTTGCTGACATCTACTTTATTAAACTTCTAATTATTTATTTACTTATTTTGGTGGTACTAGGTGCTTTACCACAGAGCTATATTCCCAATGTTTTTATTATGATGATTATTATTATTTTGAAATAGGGTCTTGCCAAGTTGCCTAGGCTGGACTTGAACTTGTGATCCTCCTGCCTTGGTCTCCCAAATTGCTGGGATTGTGGGCATATGCCATTGTGATGGAGTAAATCTTTATTTATTTATTTTTTTATCTAGCCTGAACATATTTTTGTTATAAAGAATCATACAGTATTGAGAAAGTAAGGTCACCTTCCCCCTCTCTGATCTTGCCTCTGCACAGTTGTTGTTTGTTTGTTTTTTATTGTTGAGATGTCTTATGAGTCTTTTTATACTTTTCCACTCGTATCTACTGATCAAAACTTTGTGAATTTATTTGTCCCATAATTGAGCACATCRTTCCCAACCTGCTTTTTGTTTTCTCAACCATTTATCCCTCCATTAATCATTCCACCCGAAATGTATCAGCTGCCTACTATGTGCTAGGCCCTGGGTGACAGCAGTGACCTATATAAAAATCCCTGCCTTCCAGGGAGTTGATGTGTATTGGGGATGATAAACAAAAAGCAGCATCCATAAGTCAAACACATCACATGTCAGATGGCAGTCAGAGCCAGGTGGCCACATGCAGCCGGCAGGGTGGTGGAGGCTTCTGGGTTCTTAGGCACAAGCTGAACCTCATTAAAAATGGAGGGCTCCGACTTTGAAGCAGTTTGCCCCGCCTTAGAGCCACATCACTTATTAAACAGTCCCTGTTCTGTGTATTGTCCTTACACGTGCACCCACGCTCTTTGGTGCAGGGGAGCAAGTGTCTCTTGGGATTGGTGCCCAGAAGGAAAGGTCTGGGCTGCAGCTAGCTCATCCTCCAAACAGTCCCAGGAAGAGGGACCTGGGAGACCTGGAGGCTCCCAGAAAGACAGGGACTCTGTGGAGGTGACACAGCCAGGGGGTGGGGGAGTTGAGAGCCCTAAGCCCATCTCTGCTAACCTGGATTGGGACGCTGCCCTGCCATGTCCAGCTGGGTGGGTGGCTTTGGGGAGCCACTTCCTTTCTGGAAGCCTCATTTTCCCCATGTGTCAACTGGGGATGCTAATAGGTTGCTCTGGAGAGGAAACAAGATAATCACTGTGATCTCTTGGCACAGTGCCCAACACATGGTGGGAGCTTCCGTCCTGTATGGTGATCCTTAGAGTTACTGTGTGGGTTTGGTAAGATGATGCAGAGAAGATTCCAGGCCTTAATGGGTGTGTGTTTGTTTTGTACGGGGGATTGAACTCAGGRACGCTAAACCACTGAGCCACATCTCCAGCCCCTTTTATTTTTTACTTTGAGACAGGTCTCACTAAGTTTCTTCCTGAGCCACTGGGATTACAGACATGCACCGCCATGCTGGCTTTAGTGGAGGTTCCTTACACCTAGTCTTTCCTTCCTTTGCAGCAGGTCATCCCCCACCTTGTCTCCTCTTGTCCCCTCTCCCTTGTCTCTAACCCGTGCATCTCCTGTCTGCTCTTCAGGCCTTCTTCCTCTTTCCTGACTTGAGTTTTCTAAGCCCCCAATGGTCCAAGTGCAGTTGGTGGATCAACAGTATCAGTGTCCTGRGAGTTCATGGGTTATGCAGAACTTGACTTCCACCCAGACCCCTATTCTGGAATGGCCCAGAGTCTGTATTTAAAAAAAAAAAAATGCTGGGGTTCTGCTTTCATGAAGAAGCTCTGTGTTACCTAGAAGCTGTGTGTGCCATCCAGTGGATTATTTTGTCTCTATGCCACAATTTGTTCATCTGTAAAACAGGGCTCCTAGGAGCCCCATCACAACTGCAGAGGTAGAGTCGGTGCAGAAACGCGCACCTGTGATCCCAGCTACTCGGGAGGCTGAGACAGGAGAATAGCAAGTTGGAGGCCAGCCTGGGTACTTTAGTGAGACCCTATTGCAAAAAAATTTAAAAAGGACTGAGGATATAGCTTAGCGGTAGAGCGCCCCCGGGTTCAACCGGGATGCAGGGGTGGGACGTAGTCGATGCCCACAAACCCGAGGCAGAGTGTTAATAAATGTAGCCGTTGGGGTCATTTTCATGATTGTGGTTGTTAAATCACTGTCTAAAGGCTGCAGCAGGCCTGGCTTCCTCCCAGGCTCCAAGCTGCAGCACCTCAGCTGCTCCTGAGTCCCAGGACCTGGGCCTTTTCTCTGCGCTCCGCAGGCCCCACCTGCGCCCCCACCCCGCCCGCCAGGCCCCCGCGWCCTGGATCTCCGGCAGCACCTGGAACGCTGGGGCCACAACCCAGAAAGCTGTCCTCATGTGCGCGTGTCCTGTGGCTGCTGCCGAGGACCCCTGGTGAAGATGGGTGGCCGCATCAAGACCTGGAGGAAGCGCTGGTTCTGCTTCGACCGCCAGGCACGTCGCCTGGCCTACTATGCAGGTGAGCCCGGCCTGGAGCCCTGGGGCCCAGGACTTTGGAAGCCCACTCCAGATGCCTCCCCCACCCCAGGCATCTGAGAGTGGGCTCTGCCCCCTCCATCAGGGCTGCGAAGTGCAGGCCCCCACTTGCCCCCTCCCTGAAAGTAGAAGACTTGGGGCCCTTGGTTCCTTCCTCTGATATCCCCAGTAATCACCTCTTTTATCCAGAGCCCAGGAGTCCAGATCCCCAGCCCCTTTCCCCTTAAGTGACCTAGAATCCACACACACAGGCCTGCAGATGACACAGTTTAGTATAGTTTTGGGTTCCAGACCCCATTTTCCTAACATGCCCAAGAGTCTGAACCTGCAATATCAGCGTCCTCCCCTACCCCAGCTCCAGGAATGGGACTCTTTGTCTTTAGGTGGTCCCAAGCTTTCCTTGAGTTCCTTCCCTTCTCGAGGACCTAGGATGCCTGCAGTATTGTCCAGTCTCGGAGACTCCCAGTCGCTCATCTAGCATCAACACCCACTCACTCCCCAGCCRTGGTACTTCCTGGACCTTCAGACTCTCACCTGTCTCAGACTTGCCCCAGTGCCCCGGGCCTGACACACGCCTCTCACTAGCTCTATTTCTCCCTCTCCTTCCTCCACCAGACAAGGAAGAGACCAAGCTCAAAGGTGTCATCTACTTCCAGGCCATTGAGGAAGTCTACTATGACCACTTACGCTGTGCCTTCAAGGTGAAATCCCATTCAGTGCCACCCTGCCCTCTCAGTCAGAGCCTTACCCTGTCTCTAGCTCATTCTGGGCAAAGCCACCCACAGCTGCTACTGTCAGGATACCAGGGTCCAGCWTAAGAGACCAGCAGTTCATGGCACTGCCTATAATACTAGCAATTTGTGAGTCTGAGAAAGGAGGATTGTCAAGTTCTAGGCCAGCCTCAGCCATTTAGAAAGGCCCTCAGCAATTTAGCAAGACCCTGTCTCAAAAAAAWTTTTTTAGGCCGGGTGCAGTGGTGCACCCCTGTAATACCAGCAGCTGGAGAGGCTGAGGCAGGAGGATCAGGAGTTCAAAGCCAGCTTTAGCGAAATCAAGGCACTAAGCAACTCAGTGAGACCCTGCTCTAAATAAAATACAAAATGGGGCTGGGGTAATGTGGCCCAGTGGTCAAGTGCCCCTGAGTTCAATCACCGGTACCTCACCAAAATGTTTTTTTAAAGGGCTGGGATTGTAGCTCGGTGGTAAAATGCCCTAGATTCAATCCTCAGTACAGAGGGGAAAAAAAAAAAAAAAACCCACCTCAGACTCTGGCTCTCAGCCACTGTTAATTTTCTTGGACAAAAGTTAAAAGTTTTCAAGCAAAAATCCGGGTTCCATGGTGCATGCCAGTAATCCCAGCTCCTCAGGAGGATGAAGCAGGAGGATTCCAAGTTCCAGGCCACCTTGGCAACTTAGTGAGACTTTGTCTCAAAGTAAAAAAAAAGGTCTAAGGATGTATCTCAATGACATTGTGAGCATACATACACACACACACACACTTGGAAACTCATGCCAAGCTGGGAATAAATGAAGGAAGAGGGCAGAGTAGGACTGAGACCCACTGAGAGCGTGGACATCATACAGCCATTACTTGGCTTCTGCCCATAGTTACCAAATGTCAGACTTATTTTCTTTTATAAAAATAAATGTTGGTAACTGATGCAGTGTTTAGAATCCTCTGTGGAGAGGAGCCAACCCTGGCTTTCCTTAAGTTAGAACCCCAGCGGTATGACATCAGAAAAGTGAGGTCCCTTCTCCAGCCTAGTTTTCTCATCTGCATATTGGGCAGGCTTCAACCCATGCCCTCAGGGTTTAAAACAGAATGGATGCAGGGGATTTACCCAGCTTGGGTTTGGCGAATAGTTTCTTCATAAATGGGCACTAACTTCCCACAAACCAACCAGGAGGACSGAGATTTGGAGGGGGGGCTGGGCGGTGGCCGGAGTCAGCTGTCCTAACCACCCTGTACCCTGCCTGTTCCAGAGCCCCAGCCCTCGCCTGACTTTCTGTGTCAAAACCTACGAACGCCTTTTCTACATGGTGGCCCCGAGCCCCGAAGCTATGCGCATCTGGATGGACGTCATCGTCACCGCCGCGGATGAGAACCACGCCCCCTGAGCGTCCCCGCCCACCCGGGGACGTCCTGGCGAAGCTCCGCCCCACACGCAGTCGTGCTCCAAGGCCCCGCCCATTCCGGAAGCGGGGGCCCGYCCCTTCTGAACTCTCCCGGGAACACTGCGGTGGCTGCGGCTCAGCTGGCCTGAGTCGCGGCTCTCCGTGCAGCTGGGGTGGCCCCGCGACGACGGGATCGCCAGTCCCGGGGCCCTGCCTGGGGCAGGAGGAAGATTGCAGGGTGGGAAGAAACTATTTATTGGTGCTCCTGTGAAATCGAATTAAACACGGCGGAAACACAGGGTCGCTGCTGTGGTGTCCAGCCCGGCGACCGGGGCCAGCCCCTAGGCAGGACCTCGGAGTTACGGGCACCTCTGGGGCCAAGCGTCCCCGCTGTTTCTCGCTTTAGGAATGGAGACCTTCGCCCTGCGGGCACGGCCRGGAGCTGGGGGCTGGGAGGCCCGTCCTCAGCCTTTTGCAATGTTGTTGTTTTAGTTTGTGGGTTTCTCTGCTTCCGGTTTGACCCACAGCTGTTGGCAGTTTCTGGAACTCCTGGGCCCCCTCTCCCCCTCTGCCTGCTCTTCCTTAACCAGCTCGTCATTTTCCAGGTCCAGTTCATGTTCCTTCCTTCAGGAAGTCCTCACTGGCCCCCTTGGCTGGTCAGGCGCCTCCTCTTGAGTTCCCATCCTATTCCTGAGCACTGGCTTGTCACCTTGATGACCTGTGCTCTTTATGGACCGGGAACTCCATGAGGACAGAGCCAGGGCTGTTCTGGTGACCTCTGTGTCCCCAGTAGGGCAAATATCATTCCATGAAAACGAGAAGAATGTGTCCCTGCCCCCTCTGGGTCTTTTTGTCCATTCTATTTATTTGTCTAGGCATCTCCACACTCCACCCACCTTCTCATTCAGGTGGGAGCACCTGTGTTTCCTTCTCCAGGAAGCCCTCCCTGATTGTCGTGACTGAATCAGAGGTTTCCTCAGGGATTCCCACGACAGTCCTAACCACTCTGCCTCCCAGCACAACCTGCCCACTCTGCCTGGTGCTTATCCCATGGTGGCCTTGACTGCCCTAGGCCTTCCTTGCTGATGAATCAGTCTCTTCTTCTGGTCTAGGAGCTCCAGGAGGCAGGGACTGGGGCTGTATTGATCACTACTGAGTCCTTGTCACACACCAAAGGGCTCAGGTGCTGCACACTAGGTGTTGAAGGAATGTCTTATGGTTGAATAAATGAGTTAAGGAAGGATGCTAAGGACCAGGAGAGTTGTGAACAAGGCAGCCGGCTCCTGGGCTGACTTCACCTTTAGATCTTACCTGGCACATCCCCTCCTAGGAGAAGCTCTCCTTGGTCCTGAGGCGGGTCAAGTGCCTGGGCTGCCGCAGTCCTCTCCCTCTCCCCCCACCAGCACTCTAGGCTGTCCCTCTTTCTTCCCCTCAGACCGCCCTCTTGAGGATCTGGGATCTCGATCTAGTGTTCCTGAGTCCTGGGAGTACAAATCCCCAGGTCCTCCAGGACCCCAGGTGACCCCACCTCCAGCTGTGAGACTTCTGAATTCTTGCATCAGTTCATCACCCAGCCCAGAACGGAGCCAGCTTCACAGGCATGTGACCAGTCTAGTCAACAGAAGAGCCCTGCTCTTAAATTTTGTGTTCTGTGATCATCATCTGAAAATTCTTAATAATTTTATCTTTGAATGTGTGTTTGGTAATGAAGTTTGGTGGAACAGTGGAGTTTTTTGTTTATTTGTTGTTTGGTTTTGGTACCAGGGCACTTAACCCCTGGGCCACATCCCCAGCCCTTTTTTTATATTTTATTAGAGACAGGGCCTCGCTGAGTTGCTTAGGGCCTCACTGAGTTGCTTAGGGCCYCACTAAGTTGCAGAGGCTGGCTTTGAACTCAATCCTCCTGCCTCAGCAAGATTCGGGTGGGTACTTGTGTCTCATGGCATCTTGGGGTGAAGCATGGCAGTGGCCCCTGGTGAGGAGGAGAACCCAGCAATCAGGTAGCCCCTGTGAGGGTCCATGCTGGCCCCTCAAGTATCCCTATGCCACATTTCCATTTTGCACTGGGCCTCAAAAATTAATGCAGCTGAGTCGGTGTGGCCGTGCCTGCCTGGAGTCCCAGCATCTGAGGCAGGAGGATGAAAGTTCAAGTCTAACCTGGGCAACTTGAAACTCTGTCTCAAAACAAACTAAGAAAAAAAGAGCTGGGAGTGTAGCTCAATGGTAGATCATCCCTGAGTTCAGCCCCTCCCCCCTAAAAAAGCAACTGACTGGCCCTGCCCATCCCTTCCTTTTAAGTCCCATAAAGTATGTTCCACAGGGAGTAGATCTGAGACTCAGAGCCTGCCCTGCCCCAGGGGTCACGAACCCCATCATGGATATGGCCCCAGGCTTCTGAGGCCCTGGGTGACCTCTAGCTGCTGGGGCTGCTTCTACCTTGACCCCTCTATATATCTACTTGAACCAGATTCTACACAGTCTTTGCAGGGAATTCCGACTGTGGAGAGGAGAAGGAGGCCAGGAGAACATGGAGGTGGTGGATTCAAATCTCCTTCTGGTCTCCGGTCTCTGATCTCTGGTCCTGGGCCAGGTGTAGGTCAGCGGCCCAGAATCTAGGCAGGCCTGAGCAAGAGAAGACTCCCCACCCTGGGTCCCACTCCCTCCCAAGACGCTAGTTCTTCTGGTTGGGCCAGTTGGGGTTCCTCCCTGAAACTCTCCCACGCTGCTGGGGCCTCCTGCTCCCAAGTACACAATAATAGTATTATCACTCTACCTGCCACCCATCGGTCCTCGCTCCATCCCTCAGGAGGGAGGGTTTTAATACACATTCAGCAAAGGAAGGAGCTGAAGTTCAGAGAGGGAGATTGCATTGTTTGGGATCACACAGCAAGAAGGCAGAATGAAAATTTCAGTCTATTCAATTTTAGACTTTATACTTTACCCAATGCCTCATTTTCCTTTCTTATAAAAAAGGATACCTTGGAGCTTCAGAGAGGTGAAGTGTCAACAGCAAACCAGATGTGGGGATGGGATTCTGAGGCTAGAAACAGGGAGGCCAGAGCCAGTGCTGAATGACCTCATAAGAAGTCATTCACTTTCTCTCTGAGCTTCAGGAGGATGCCAAGTGACCCCACCTATATGACAAAGGTGCTTGTCATTGYCGGGAACCGGGGTACCTGACAGGGTCTGGAGAACAGAGACCTTAATGGACATAGCCGCTATTTTTCTTGCTATCAGACAGCAAGCCACCCAGATGGAGCCGAGTCTGCTGCTTCCCTTGCTGGGTGAACCTGAACCTTTCTGGGTCTTGGTTTCTTCCTCTGTGAAATGGGCACTTTACTCCACCCTTTAGTTAAGAATTCATGAAGAGGTTGCTTTAAAACAACGAGCTCCCTGCCTGGCACACAGATGGAGTTCAAGAAGCGGGGCTGTTGGTAACTAATAATAATAACAACAGCAATCTATTTACAGTACTAATAATAGTTAAATTTTTTTTTATACTGGGATGAACCCAGGGCATTTTACCACTGAGCTACCTCCCCAGCCCTTTTTATTTTTTATTTTGAGACAACATCTCACTAAGTTCCTTCGAAATTGCAAAACTCCTGCCTCAGCTCCCTAATTCACTGGAATTTTAGGCGTGTGCCGCTGCACTTGGCTGTGGCTAATGCTTCTGTAGCACCTAGAACTAGGCACTTTCCACATCTGACATCAGTCTCCACAGCAGACATAAGGCAGGTGCTGTTAAGGTCTTCATTTCACAGAGGAGGACACAGGGGCACCCAGAGGCCAGCTTCACAGTTAGTAACCAGAGTGCCCGCATACCTAAGTGTTAGTCCTCAAGCCAGATTGCCTGAGTCTGACTACCGTGCCTCTCTCACTTCCTAGCTGTGTGACCCTGGGCAAGTTGGTTACCCTCTCTCTGCCTCAATTTCCCCATTTGTAAACTGACTATCTTTAAAAATTCTCAGGGCTGCAACAGCAGGTAGAGTGTGAAACAGTGTCGAGCACATAGAAAAAGCTGACTAGGTGTGTTTTTGTTATTATTTCTGTTTATATAGGAAGTCGATGAACATCAAGGCATTGGGACCACTTGCCCAAGGTCACACAGCAAATCAGAATTTGGGACTCAGACCCAAATCTGGCCAGCTCCAAAACTAAGAGCCATTGCAAAATATGATCTTAGGATCAGCCCTAACAAGTAGAAACAGAGACCTTTGAGCAAAGCCCTGGAGTCAAAGCCAAGTTCTCCACTTCCAACCTCCACTTCTCACCCTCAGTTTCCTCATCTGTGAAATGGGGCTCAGACCTCTCTTTGCAGAGCTGTTATGGCAGTCAGAGAGGATTCGTAGAGAGTACTCTGCACAGAGTAGGTGTTCAGTAAATGATCATTTAAAAGCCATACTTAAAGTGAGGATTAAATGTGACATTGCGTGCCCCGTTTAGAAGGAGGATCTCCCACCTGTTTCCTTCGCTAGCACTTCAGGCCAAGGTGCACCATCCCTTGCCTCTGCCCACGTTCTCCCCCAGGAACACACCTTTGGTGGAACAAGCTGAGTTTATTGCTCTCTGCAATGAGGGAGAATGCACATCATGGGAGACCTGAGAGGCGTACCAGAAACAGGATATTAGAAAAGACTCCTTTTAGGATTTGGACTCATGGGTAGTGATTTTGAGGACCGTCCCAGGAAGTGGAGTTTGCTCTGGATTGGATACTGTCACCAAGAAGGGGTAATGCTAGGATTGGTCATTTTTATTAATCTTATTTATGAGACAGGAAAGACAAAGCAAGGTTAAAGTCATAGCTTATATTAATATTAGTAATATAAACAGTCACTTGTATTAGGCAGGATACGAGGATGCTTAGTCATTTTGTGGTTTGCATAATGATCTTATTTGTTTCTGGGTTCAGACATGGGTATGGAGTGGTCTTGATTCTGTCTGCATCTTTCACAGTCACAGCGTGACCTTGGCTAATGCTGGTGTTTGTGAGGTGATTTTATGTGCAATAGATCCCTCCACCTCTCTGTGAGTGCCAGGCCGACTTCCAGCTCTTACGGGCTGTTTCTCTCCTTTTACCTGGGAAACCACCCACCTCCAGCTGCCTCATCTGTCCTCTGGTCTTCTCTTGCTTCTTCTAGACTCCTTTTCCTTTTATTTTATTTTATCTTTACATGGAGGCCACAGTGGCCCCTTTCCCTTGCTTTCACTGAAGATAACTTTCCTTCAGCAAAGTGCATAAAGATGTATCCATGTGGCTGCAAACACCTCTTGCTGGATCTTTCCATTCCTGGGTAGAAGCCCATTGGGTGAATGAACCACTCTTTATTTTCCATTCACTTTTTTTTTTTTTTTTTTGGTGGTGGTGGTGCTGGGGATCGAACCCAGGGGCTCAGGTATGCCAGGCAAGCACCCCATCACTGAACTACCTCCCCAGTCCCCATTTATTTCTTGACAGATGTTTGCACTACCTCCTGGATTGATCATATTGAAAAGCAAATTTAACCATGTCCCCCAATTGATTTTAGACCCTTTCAAAGGTTCCCCACCTTTCTCACAATTCATCCAAATCTCTTCCCTGGGCTTACCCCRGCCTGACTCTTCTGCCTCAGTTTCCCCCTTCTGTCCTGGGCCCTCTGAGCTCCAGATCCTTAGCCTTCCTCTGTGAATGGATAGTGCTGCTTCCCACCGCTGGGCTTTCTCAGGTGCTCTTGTAATGCAGCCCCCTCCCCCACCCTCTTCCACCTGGCTAAATCCCTGTRTCTGAGGTCACATCTCAGACGACCTCCTCAGAGAAAACCAGTCCCACTCCTAGACTCCATCCTTCCTGGTAGCTCCCTACACTCAGTCTCCATCATCCTCGTCTCCATTGTGCATAACAGTTTGCAATGATTGTTTGATTGACATCTGTCTCCCCCATCAGACTGGGAGCTCTTGGAGGACAGGTGCTGGTTCTGTCTTATTCTCTAGCACCACCCACACCAAAGTAGGACACACCGTACAGGCCGGTTACATAGCTATAGAACGCTGAATGTTGAGTAGCCCCTGCCTTCTTCCCTCCGCACTCCAAACACACACAGACTTTCTCCCAGGGAATGTCGGGGAACCTCCACGCCCGCCCTTTCCCTCCTTGGCATCTGCACAGGGCAGGGGCCCGCTCTCCCTAAGCGTGACGCACCTAGGGGCGGGCACCCGCCCCGCAGCGGACGCTGACTTGGCCTGGTTGGGCAAGGCCAGGGTTGCCCCGGGGTAGGTTACTCATCCTAGGCTCAGGTAAGAGGACCCGGGCTGGGAGGTGGCACACCCAGGGGGACGCCGAGAGAGCAGGACAGAGCCATGGGCCCCGCCGGGAAAGCAGATGCCGGGGCAGTGATCTGGAGCACAGCCTGCCTGTTCTTGCTGCCGCTACTGCTTCGCGAAGGTGGGTCTGCGGCTGGAAGATCTGAGGAGGTGGAGAGGGGGCTTCTGCGGAGGAGGGCCTCGCCCCCTCCAGAGAGGGCTCTGGGGAGGATCTCCCACCATGGGCAGAGAGGCCTGTGGGGAAAGTTCTCGATCCTGGTAAAGGCAGGCTGTTGAATGGTCCCAGCCCTTCCCGGACGGAACTGGGGGAAGGCCTCAGCTGTAGGAAAAGATCTCCCACTTGAGCAGAGAACTGAGGGAAGGTAACCCCCATCCTGGGACAAGGGGCCTCACAGCAGGAATTCCCCACCTCGGACATTCGGACATGGGAAGGATGCTCCCACCGGGGTTTAGAGGGGAAAGGGCCCAGAGTATCCAGTGCCCCCGGATTAGTGGGAAGGTTTCCTCTAGTGCTACCCTGGAAAAGTCTGTGCAGTGGGATTTTCTCATCCCGGGGACAGAGCRTGGGAAGGCCTCTTTGTCCTGTGCGGGAGGAGGCGTGGCAGGACCGCTCAGTTCTACTCGGTCTCGCATCCCCAGGAGCGCAGGCCCTGGAGTGCTACAGCTGCGTGCAGAAAGCGGACGATGGATGCWCTCGGCAGAAGATGAAGACGGTGAAGTGCGCGCCGGGCGTGGATGTCTGCACCGAGGCCGTGGGGGCGGTGGAGACCAGTAAGTGTCCCTGCGTGGTCCACGCCCCTTCGGGGTGCTYCAGCCCGCCCGCCTCCTTACAGACTCATCTGACCCAGGCCATAACCTTCAACGCTGTCCATTCCTCCCTTTCAGCACAGCTTCACCCCTCCTTCCGGGGGCTTACGAGGGTCGGGGTTGGGAGCTGCGAACTGGGTGGGACGGCCTGGGAGAACCTGAGCCCAGGACAGGGGACTATCCGACCCACCCTTTCCTCTCCACCKCTGAGACCTCCCTGCTCATTCCGTTCCTGCGGGACATTTCTCCTGTCCCAGCCTCAAAGTTCCCAGTCCGAGGATCCGCCCCTCTCCCCACCCGCTGCGGAAGCCCCTYGTTCTGGGCTTAGTGCTTCGTACAGTCCCTCTCTCCGCGACCACGCCCCCAGGGCCCTCCCCGTCTGATCCTACACCTTTATTGTCAGTCTCTCGGTTCCTTCCGAGGTTGCTTTCTGCGGCTCCGCCTCTCTTTGACCCTGCGGGTCCTAGCTTTACTTTTGGTCCTCCCTCCTCGATTATGTCCCTTTCTGTCACCCAGTGGGTCCTCTCCGACTCTGCTSTTTGAAGCTCCGCCCCCACGACCCCACCCCTCCTTCCGCTGGTCCTGCTCTGGGCTTGGTGCGCCCCGGCAGCCTGACCCTGGCTGGTCTATCTTCCAGGGTTCTTTTCGAGGCCCCGCCCCTCATAAGCCACGCCCCTCTGAGGCCCCTCCTTTCTGTCTCCTGCCCCTCCCCTTTCGCAGTCCACGGGCAATTCTCGGTGGCAGTGCGGGGCTGCGGTTCCGGACTCCCGGGCAAGAATGACCGCGGTCTGGACCTCCACGGGCTCCTGGCTTTCATCCAGCTGCAACAGTGCGCTGAGGACCGCTGCAACGCCAAGCTCAACCTCACCTCGCKAGGGCTCAACCCGGCAGGTCGGTGGCGGCGGGACCCAAGGCCCGGGGCGGGGTCTCAGCAGTCCCGGGAGCGGGGGCGTCTGCTAACCCAGGCGGCGACGGCGGGTACTCCTCCTGGACGGGGGTTGGGTCAAGCTTCAGCGGACAGCCGGCGGGGCTGCACCGTAGGCAGAGACTGGTTGATGCCGGGAGCTGAGCCAAACCTGATGGTGGGGGTGTCACCGGTGGACGGGGGCCACGCCCTCTATGGAAACCTATTTTGCAGGGGTGGGACTGGGGGACCGAGCAGTGCTTCCTGAGCCCCCTCCATCCTTTCTTTCTCCGGGTTTCCTTGCAGGCAATGAGAGTGCGTATGAACCAAACGGCTCCGAGTGCTACAGCTGCGTGGGGCTGAGCCACGAGAAGTGCCAGGGTACAGCGCCGCCGGTGGTGAGCTGCTACAATGCCAGCGACCGCGTCTACAAGGGCTGCTTTGATGGCAACGTCACCTTGACCGCAGGTGAGTGAACCTGCAGTTGTTAACAGTTGGGTAGCTTTCCTGGGGCACGGGGGCTTTTTGCCCAAAAGGGTTTCTGGAGACTGTCCTTGTGCCTAAGTGCTTGACTTGTCCTAGAACATCGTGGGAAATGCAGTCCCATCTCCAAGTAGCTTGAGGACAGGGACGTTTTTGTCCTAACCTATTTGTAAGGGGGGTGGGGAGAGGATATGTTTCCATAGAAGGCTTCCAAGTACAAAATATGAGGACATGCAGTGGAAAATATATTTAAGCCTCTAAGCTTCTGCCAGGTAATGCAGGGAATCTAGTTCCATGTCTTTAAAACTCAGGGATCCTCACCTGTTTAGGAGTTTTAGGAGATAAGTGGTTCAGCCTCTCGCCCCCCCACCTGGAGGAACCGTGGGAGATGAAATTCTTCAACTCCATCTGGCACCAGGTGTTCTATGGGAGACGTGATTCCAATTATAAGATTACAGTTTGRTGGGATTAGAGGTGGGTGAGTGGTGAGAGGCCCATAACACAAGTTCCTTCTGATCTTTGGTCATAGGAAAGATGCTGAATCCCCCAGTCGGAGCCTTTATTTCAAGGCAGACTCCGAGTTCAGGCTGCACACTCTTTCTCTCAAAGCTCTGTGTAGGAATGGGGCCCACCATGTGCCAAAGTCAATGGGACAGTGTTTGGCAGGGAGTGACCAGCRTTGAGATTTGGGGATTAATGGGTGCAGAGCCTTTTCTGGTGTCTGTCTTGTCTTGCTCCAGGTGCCCTTAATTTTTATTTGTACCAACCTCCTCCCTCCAGTCACCGACTATCTGTGTCTCCCTCCTGCAGCTAATGTGACTGTGTCCTTGCCTGTACGGGGCTGTGTCCAGGATGAGTCCTGCACCCGGGATGGGGTGACAGGCCCGGGGTTCACCCTCAGCGGCTCCTGCTGCCAGGGTTCCCGCTGTAACTCGGACCTCCGCAACAAGACCTACTTCTCTCCTCGAATCCCACCCCTTGTCCTGCTGCCCCCTCCAACCACTCCGGCTCCAACCACTCATATCCCAAGTACCTCTGTCCCCACTTCCACGCCAGCCCCAACTGCTGCCACCTCTACCACCAAACCCACCCCAGCCCCAACCAGCCAGACAACTCCCCAGGAAGTACAGCCTGAGGTCTCCCGGGAAGAGGGGTCACGATTGGCTGGAGGTGCTGCTGGTCACCAGGACCGCAGTAATTCGGTACAGTATCCCTCCAAAGGTGACGGCCAGCACACCTCTAACAAAGGCACTACAACCTTGGGGGCCGGGCTGGCAGCTCTTCTATTGGCTGTGACTGCTGGGGCCCTAGTATGAACTTTTCCACCTGGACACTTCCCTCTCACCTGACTTTCCTGGCTCTGGGTGCCAAATCTGCCTTACTTCCGTTTCCCACCTCTGGACTGGGCTGGCCCAGCCTGGGTTCTTTAGATGCCCTGGGTTCCTCCAGCTTCAGCTGCACTGGTTTGCGGCTTGGGGAAATAGTTACCCTTGTAACTATTTAACTATATAAGCTGCTGGGGTGTTCTGGCTTTTCCAAGCAGCAACTGCATCCCCTCCTGGTGCCTAGGACAGAGTGAGAGAAGCCTGCTGTCCCAGGGAGTTGGTGGAGTGGATGACAAACTTCTTGTCCATTTTCCCATGGCCCAGTTGCACTGTGGGTGCCAGGGGTCATGGCTTCTGCCCCTGAGCATGGTCGCAGGCTCCTGCAGCCTTCCACACTAGACTGTGAGCTCCTCCAGGGCAGGGACTGTGCCTACAACTCTGTGTGGCCAGTTTGGGGCACAGAAAGGCTTCAAATAAAGATTTAATACTTTGTACAGTGCTTTAAAGGAGTCATTTCCATTTTATTTATTTTTCACAATAACCTTGAAGCTGAGCTAGGGCACACATACCAAGACCTTTTGCAAGTAGAGAAGCTGAGATCTAGAGCTGTGGTCCTGGGGTGGGGGGTTGTGGTTGGAACTCCTTTTATCTCATGGGGTTGAAACAGCTTCTAGGTGATCCTACTGGTGAGGGGAGGTCGGTAGAAACCATTAAGCAGTATGGAGGGGTGACAGGTCCTCCAGCAAGCTAGGAGCCGAGAGAAGCTTCAAGTACTAGGTTAATGCAACCTCCAGAGGGGCCAGCTCCTTGCCATCCATCTGGTTTATGAAGGATCATTCAGTGGACTCACCCACCTGGTCCAAAGGGGCCAAGGATGCTACTGTCCATTTTTACTTCATGTTGGGGACTTGGGAACTGAGTCCAACCTCTGTCCTCCCAATAAGATGAAGCCTGACCCCAGAGGGGAAAAAGTGGTCCTGTTAGGTGTTGGGACTGCTTGATGTGGGGGACACCAGATGTGGGGAATAGTGACATAATAGTAATATTACCAACATTACTATTAATCATAGGTTAAAAACAATAGTAAATAACGATTATAGTAAGAGAATAAGAGCTTGAGTGGTCATTATTTAACACATGAACTATGATATATGCATTCCATTGACAAATGGTAACATCAGTAATAGTTATATTGGGGGCTGAGGTTGTGGCTCAGTGGTAGAGCGTTTGCCTAGCACGTGTGAGGCCCTGGGTTCAAAGCTCAACACCACCTAAAAATTAAAAAAAAAAGATGAAGGTATTGTGTCCACCTATATCTAAAACAAAAAATTTTAAAAATAGTTACTAGAGTCACAAGAATTCAGCAATTAAAGAAAATCTTGCCAGATGCCAGGCTGTCCTAAGGGTATTAACACCTGCGCACAGCTTGACTAAACTTTATTTTTTTACTTAACTTTCGACATACTTCTTCCTGCCTGTGGGCCCGTGATCTCCCTCTGAGCCCAAGTCTTAGAATCCCGATGGCCTAACCACAGAGGTCCCCGACTTGGTTTTCTCAGAACATTTACTTCCAATAAGATATTGTCAATTTCTTTCTCTGCATGTTTGAGATGTAGATGAATCTCAAGCTCTTGCTAGTTTATATCCAAGGACATGCTTTCTCAAAGACCTAGGAACCATATCTGAAATGTCCCCATCACAAGAGAGGGCACTCATATCTTCCATTTTCCATAGTGGTGCCAGAGCCTGTCTTTGGTGGGTGTTTAGTAGGTCCCTTTGTCATGAAGACACAAGAAAACTCCCTCTGCAGAGGGTGTGATGGTGCATGCCTATAAACCCAGCTGCTCAGGAGGCTGAAGCAAGAGGATCGCAAGTTTGAGGCCAGCCTGGGCAACTTAGCAAGACCCTGTCTCAAAATAGAATAAAAAGGGCTGCAGGTGTAGCTCAGGTAGAGTGCTTGCCCACATGTATGAGATTCTGGATTCAATCCCCAGGACTGAAAAAAAAAAAAAAAAAGAGAGAGAGAGAGAGCTCCCTTTTCCTTTGGGCAAAGCCAATTAGCAAAGACGGTGACCTTAGAAACCCCTGGTTTCCGCAGAGTGGAGTTCAGCCGAAGTTCTGGCCTCTCCCTCCTCTTGTAACAGTCTTGAACCAGGTCTTCCTTACCTGTTTAACATAAGCCAGGTGCAAGTTTTGCTTTGAGCCCYGCAAACTACTCACCAGCATGTTATTTGGGCTCACATGGAGATCTGGAGAGTTTGGTCACTCCGCTTGTTTTTGTCACTTCCACAGTGCAGGGTACCTGGCTTTCTGAGAGTGTTGAGGCTGGAAATCCTTATTACCTCACCTTGACTCCATGTTTTTTTTTTTTTTTTTTTTTTTTTTAATTCCCTTTGTGGGGGAGTTCCAGAGTGGGGAAGGACTTTAGAATTCCCCCTTGGCTGCTGGAGCTCAGGGTCAAAGAACTTGCTGTCACTCATGGGGCTTTAGGTTCCACCCCCAGCACCACAAGAAAAAAATAAAAGACTTCAGATTGTCCCCTCAGCTTAGCTCAGCCTGGGCCTCTGCTATGGAGGCCCCTGTCTCCCTTTCCCAGTGCATCCTGACTCTGTGTTCTGCTGGGGCCTGTGGAGGGTGAGGCCACAGTCTGAGAGCTGAAGCAGATGCTAAAGGATAAGATTTTTAAGATTCTCACACAAATATGAACACGGGTCAAACATTTCATGTAGCTCATTGATTCRTGAGGAAATCAGGAAAATATTACCATGGTTCAAAGAACATTTCAGGCTTCTTCTTGGGGGGGCACTGGGGGTTGAACCCAGGGGTGCTCTACCACTGAGCCACATCCCCAGCCCTTTGAGGTTTTTATTCGGAGACTTGGTCCAGCTAAGTTGCACAGGCTGCCCTGGAACTAGGGATCCTCCCTTTCTCAGCCTCCRATGGAGCAGCTGGGATTACAGCTGAGTGCCACTTTGAAATGTCCAGCTTCAAAGGACATTTCAAAGAACACATCTCGCCTGTGTCCATCCGGGCGGGTGGTGGAATTTGGGTTTCCGCTGCGTGTAGCAGGCTGGCTGCGGAATAAAAGCTAAGAAAGAGAAAAGGGGAAGAAACCACAGGACACAGGAAGTAATTTTAGAAAGGGTGGGGGCGGCTCTCTGATCTTGGGGATCGAAACTCCACACTGGAAAGAGAGAGCGAGAGCCCTCACTTGCTTTATTTATTTATTTATTTATTTATTTATTTATTTA